ACCTACCGTACGTACCGTACCGCGTCGCGTCGTGCGTGTAATTCTGGGAGTTGAAGTCCACTCATCTTAAAGTGGCCAAGTTTGGACCACACCGCACTACAGCCTGCAGAATGGCGTGCGCCTAAATCGGAAACCTTAGCGAGTTGCAGAGTCCTTGGTAACGTCTTAACACTTTGTCACTGACCCCCTTGATATTCAGGGCAGTTTGATACCATGTGGTTTGACCTCTGTGGAATTAGAGCACCAAAGTAGCCCGTGAATTTCCCTTTATTTCCCATTAAAATCTCGATTTCTTGGGTTTTGATGCAACAGACGTTTTGCATGGAACAGACCAATTTTCTGCACCGATGAATGCCATCGGCATAATAGTGTCACTATTCCTCATAAATGGGCGCAAAGAATGCAAATTGCTGTGGGAGAATACTTTCTGATTTAACAGACATTTGTCAATAACGGACACCCCCTCTCCCATTAGTCTGCTAAAGTGAGGTTTTGATGTAGTACATTTTTGTTCCTGCCCAAGTTACTGGTGTCTTTCTCTTCTATGTTTGATCCCTGTGCAACAGCTCTTAACAAATACCGTCTGGTTGTACTCAGCTGTTGCCGTGATAAGATAATCATGAGAAGGTTATGCACCAAGGACATGTAGCTGGACTTATCAAGGTTGGTGGATTAGCAATTGGAAGAATTCAAACAAGAAAGAGTTTATATGAAGGGTAAAAACAGAATTCTCCATTGGTAGAGGAGTTCTGGAATGTTTTTCAGGAAACCAGAAAATTATCTGCAGGAGTCGTACTGGGGCACCTTCCCCCATTTTAAATAAGTTTTAAATTCAAAGTTCACATCCGCTACATAAATCAAGGCACAGTGACTTTTTCAGGCGGCCCTCACACAAAACACAAAAATGAAGTATCGAAAATGGTGAGTGGAGAACCTTCAGTAGACACATTGGAATTGGCCATCAAGTGAGATTTCAGCCATCTTTTGGTTTAATCATTACCTTCATTAAGGAGCCTCTGGACCTTACACATCCAAGTCTACCTGGAATCTTGGTGGTTGGCGCATTCCCAAAGCAGGCATTTCTAACCAAACCGGAGGTTCTCCAAAGTCACCTGGACTCTGATGACATGGTGGCCAGTTGATATTCTGGGTCCAAACTCTCCACTCTTCTGAAAAGGGCTTAGTTACAAATAAAGGTTTCGTGAGACCATCTGCCCCAGAGCGCAGCTGCTTTCGTTCCCAGCTAACTTACTGCTGACTTGTCTGTTTGAAAAGGACAAGTTTCAGAGTCTCACCCTGTCCATTTCAGAGGCAAGAGTTGGCTACTACTGTATGTTAAAGCTACGGAGGAGGGAAAACAGTCCATGAACGGCAGATGGTTTTTCTCCTCCTAGGGACCGGATTGCCAGAAATCTTTGCCAGAAATCTGAGGTTTGTTTTCTTCTTTGGCAAATCTGCCCTCTCCCAGATCACAAGTGGGGGGTTGCCCTAGTGATCCCCCTGGGTTAGCAGTGATAGAAACCCATTCCTCGCCTTTTTAAGAAGCCCTAGCAGATGTTTGCATCGGGTTGAATCCGGAGTCTTCTTCTAAAGGTGTCACTTTCATTGATAGAGAACGGATATGAGATGAGATACTGGCAAAGAGATTTTTTTTCTCTTCCCAATCCTACAGGACCCTTCAAAGTCTGCATGATTTCCTGGATATTTTACAACGAGGTGTCCATCACCTTCAATGATACGACTGCCCCATCTAAATTAGAAGGCTTCTCTGCGTGAAATTTACATTGCACAATTTCTGCATAACTCGGCAGCACGAAAAACATCTACTTTCCAATTCTCCAGGATGTTTCCCTCCTGCTGCTTTTGCTGTGCCTTTTATTCTCCCTTCTACCCCAAAATAAATACTTTTTGGGGTAGTGCTAAGAATTCCATTTCCTTCCCTCCCCCCCTGCCTGGGGAAAAAAAAATTGGTAACGCCCAAGTTTATTTTGGGTGAATTTGGAGACATTGCATAATGATTAATTGTGGGCCAACTGAGGGGGTGGAAGATGAAATCAGATCCCTGTTGCATATTAGTAGACACTGCAGCTGGACAAAATCTTTGCAAGCAATAGATCCCAGGGAGGGGTTTTTTTGGACAAGATTTTTTTTTAAAAAATTCCAAATAACAGTGTCTGTTGGCAACCGCTCAGCTCAACTGTCTGAGACTAAACCATTTATTGTAAATAGCCAAGGTCTGGTTTTAATTACTTCCTCTTCTGCTCAGGAAATAAATATATCCAATTTTGGAATGTGTTATTTTGCTTTCTCTGATGTTTCTGCTGAAAAGGAACTGTTCTGTGGGTCATGTGCATTTTCCTGACGAGGTAGCGAGAGGGTAGACTGTCTCTTCTTTAATGCCTTCTTTGCTTACCTGGTACGTGGCCAGCACCTTCACCTTTTGAATACTGAAAATCCCTTAGTGGAAAAATGCAAATTAGAGAAATTTGGAAGAAATTCTAAAGCACACTGAGGACAAGGTAGAAAAACAAAGGCCCCTTTTGCAGAAGGAAACATTGGAGAAAGAATAAGGTGGATTTTAGCACTGCCTTTGAAGGAAGAGCTTGGCCCTCAATGATCTGGGTGGACTTGGATTCCAAATTAAGATAAGCAGTTGCCATTGCTGGCTGATCCTTCATTTATGTTGGCGTGCCACCAGCTTTTGGATCTACCTCAAGCTAGTCATCTTTGCCACTGATTCTGAGTAGGAGTTTGATCCGGTTGGTGCAATTAAATCAAGTTCTGGGTGGCTCCTAGAAGTGCCCAGGTTCTGCAATTAATTCACCACCATCCTGAGTGTTTTCTTTCTGGAATTCCTTGCTTGGTGCCCTCAAACACCCATCCATCTACCCACCAACCAGGAAAAGGCTGTTCCTCCTGCCCTGCTAGGGTTATGCAACATGGGTCTGCTGGTGGTAGGAAATTAGACATTCATGTGAATGTTACGGAAGCTTTAACTTACTCTTAAACACCCTTCATCCATCCAACCCCTGCCTTTCCAGCAGGAATTGAAGACGGTGTCCATAAAATGCTCACCTCTGTTTTATCCCAACAGCTCTGTAAGATAGGTTAGGCTGAGAGTTAGTGCTTGGCCCAAAGTCTCCATGAACTTCCATTTCATTCATTTAGACAAAATATGGCCTTTCGAGTTAGAGTTCGTATTGCAGAGCGAGAAATAAAATGTCAGGATGTGTGGCCTATTCCTGCCATTGTTCTAGAGTTTGAGGTCTTTTAAAAAATAATAAATGGCCCACCACGAATGCAGAGCTATCTTCCCAAAGGGGTTTGGTGCAGAGGGTTTTCTATTCCTGAATTGAGTGACTTGATTATGAAGAGATGATAATTTTGTAGACATATTCTTCTATGTAGTGATATTTCTGGAATAATTGGTAATGAATTTGGCTATGCAGAGAATGAAGGCTAATGAGATAAAATGGGGGTGATGCACCTCTCAAATCTCTAATTAAAGAGATCCTTGGCTGCATTTTTGGGAGCGTCAAAAATAGTTTCTGCCTAAACTTTTGGCAAGAGTTTGGAACACAAATGAACCATTTGTTCTACCTTCTGCTGGGTGGGTCAAGAAGATGTTCCTGACATCTCTTTGAGATCTTTGACTTGAACTATCACTCATCAGCCCCCAAGTTGTGGGTGTCAAACTTTTCCCCCGTCCTTTCCCAACATTACAACTGGTAAGTCATCTTTTAGTACTGAAGTGTGAATTCCAAATTTTTCCAACCACAAGCCTTACATTTTTCTTGGCATGGCCTCTTCTAGAATTCCAAATGATTTGTGGTTTGATGAGGAATAGAATCTGGATGGACTGATGCAGACAGCCTGAATTCTATAACCGTTTGGTTAAATCATGAGCTTGAAAGGAACAGAAGGCGTCCTTGTTCTTTTCGTTTCTGATCAAACGAGCTTTTGAATATACTGGTGGGGAAAGGGAGAGAAGACTCCATTTCAGATACAGTACAGTGAAGGTTTTTTTAATATACTTTTTGGAAGGTTTTTCCCCTAGTGTTCAGATGGTTGAAGAATGTAGGCAGGCAACAGCATTTCATAATACTGGTTGGATGTACACATCATGCTAAGCTATAATGCAGGCCATTTGGATTTGGCTCCATGAGATGTGTGAACCCAGCCAGTGTCAGCTCAGTTGACAATGGGTAGGCAAGCCATGGATTAGTATTGTGTCTGAACTCAGCTAACTGTGGCTTGTCAAATCATAGTTACACAAACCGTGGCTTAACTCAGCAAACCAACCCAGCTATCGTTTCTGGATAAGGAGATTCTCAGTAACCTTGTGTTCATTTTAACCCTACTTCTGTATCCATCTCCCCCCTCAATCGTCTGATTTTGACCCACCTAATCATTTAATGAAGTAACAAGATAACCAGTTTTTCTATTTTGTCCCATCTATGGTAGCTTAGGATGAAACCCAATCTAACTGAGGGGGTTGCCTTTTGTCTTGTAGGTGGACGAGTGAAAACGTGGAAAAGGAGATGGTTTATACTGACTGATAACTGCCTCTATTATTTTGAATACACAACCGTAAGTATGGCTTGATGTTGCAGATAACGTCACTTCTACATCCAAGTTATTTCAACTGATTGACTGGATACTGTTTTTCCTGGATTCCTAGGACAAAGAACCCAGAGGAATTATCCCATTGGAAAACCTCAGCATCAAAGAAGTTGAGGATCCAAGAAAACCAGTAAGATCTCCCTCCTTCCCCATCTTCTTCAGAAGATCCTTTTCTCCCAGGGACCTTTCTTGATTCCTATCCATCAGTCCTCATCCCTAATGAGCAGCTCTTCTGGGTGTACCTGCTGGCTTCTCTACCCTCAGCTTGCTGATAAACTCTTGTCCTGGAGATGCATTTCAACTGCTTAGCAATGTGAACATCTGCTAAAATAAAATAGAAAATTGCTGATACACAATTGGGTGGGGACGTATGCGGAGAGATGGTGCTCAGAAAAGTCAAAATGACAGCCACCACCACATGATTGACGCCTTCTCCCTTTTTACAAGCGAAGAGCTTCAGTCATATGGTCGAGGTCACCATCTTGACTTCCTTGAACCACCCCAACCCTGCTGTTCAACTTTTTTTTTTAATTAAGAACTTCAGATCCAAAAACCTTATAATCACCAGTCATACAATTGTAACCATTATATCAATTTCTGTGTCTAGTTTTTATCTGTTCTTGATTATCAGGTCATTGTTAAGTCTTGCTTTGTTATGTTATGGATTGCTGATTTGAGTTGTAAACCACTTTGGTTATTAAACCAATGGAAAAGTAGGTTGGAGAAATTATACTGACTTATATAAAATAGAATGACATATATGAATACACTGTATAGTAACAACTGTCAAAGGAAGCTCTTGTTGTATGTTCGCTTCTGCAGCATAGCACCTCCATGCCAAATGGAGACTACTAGACTATCAATCTTGGTTTGTTTTCTCCTCCCTAGAATTGCTTTGAGCTGTACAACCCTAGCCACAAAGGACAGGTGATAAAAGCCTGCAAGACTGAAGCTGATGGCCGGGTGGTTGAGGGCAACCACGTGGTTTACAGGATATCTGCTCCCACACCTGAAGAAAAAGAAGAGTGGATTAAATCCATCAAGTGAGGGCTTTCTTAATTCAGAGATGAGTGGCACAAGGCCATCTGTACAGAGAGCTCAGCTTAAAGTGGTTTGCTTAGTTTGAGTTTTGCATATCGTATATACTTGTTCACCCTATATTGATTGATATCTTAACTTTGATTCAGGACTCAAGGGGGCATAGATAGCACTCCCTCCTATTTTTCCCTACAACAACCACCCTGTGGGGTTGGTTGAGCTGTGAGGGAGGGACTGGCCCAGAGTCCTTCAGGGAGCTTCTGTGGCTGAGCAGGGGACTACCACCTGGGTCTCTCCACTTCTGGTCCAGCACCTCCAGCATTACATCATAATGACTTGGTGCTAGACCAGAAACCAGTCAGTGAAGTTGGTTACTTCACAAATCATGGATCAACAAACTGTGGCTTAGTGTGATGTGTGAATTCAGCCTGTAAAGTTCATTTCCTTGTCTTTGGTGCACCATGAGACTTGCTCTACGCCTAGGCACTTGGATCTCTGGTCCTGGCTGTTGTATGTAGGAATTCTGTACCTATTCAATAGGAGTTTGTTTTCTCCTTCATGTGTATATATTCCCTTAATTTATATCTCATGCTACTTCCTGGAGCTCAAAATGGAACATGTTCCCTCCTCCAATTCTGTCCCTAACAACCACCTTATGAAATGGGTTCCACTGAGAGATTTTGGCGAACCCAAAATCACTAAGTGAGTTTCCATGGCTTAGCTTGGATTTGGACCTAGATCTCCCGATCCTTGTCTAATGCCCTAATAACTGCATCGCCTGGCTTATAATCAGAGAAGAAGGAGAACCATATTTTACAGTAGAAATGCAGGAAATTAATCCTTGGTTTGCTCCTTATACTAAGCCGTCGTGTGCCTTGCTGCTTTTAGCTTATTGTGCTGGGAGAATCCAGCCATTGTTCAACAAATGATGATTAAAGCAAACCTAGCTTAATGCAATCTGCGAACCCAACCAGAGACATGGGGAGGGGGTTGCCATTCAGTCAACGCTACCTTAGTGTTGAGAAACCAGGTGGAAAGTAACCGCCCAATGTGCATGGAGAGACAATGGCTTGTCCATAGTTTGTCATGGTCCAGGCCAGTGTTTCTCAACCTTGGCCACTTGAAGATGTGTGGACTTCAACTCCCAGAATTCCCCAATCCACACATCTTAAAATGGCCAAGATTGAGAAACGCTGGTCCAGAGGAACCATGAATTAGGGCAATGTGCAAACCCAGCCTAATAACTGTTTTTTCTTTAGAGCAAGCATCAGCAAGGATCCCTTTTATGACATGCTGGCAACTCGGAAGAGGAGGATTGCTAATAAAAAGTAGCCGTGATGAGGAAGACTCTCACCATCCATGTGCCAAGCGCAAGTGCAAAGGAAACCAGCCTCATTCCAGCAACCTTGTCTCTTTCCTGTGGCATCTGTTTTTCCCTTTGCCCATGTGTCTTCTACCCTACCATAAGCTCCTGGAAGACCTTCAGTTAGAGGGATGGGTCATTTGGGGGAATGGACGAATTGGGAGCCTTATGCCCCTTTTGGGGGTGTGGTGGAACCAAAAATGATCTAAGCATCTCCTGTCCCTCTTTACGTGTGGGAGGCATTGTTGGGGATTGTGACTAGTCAATGTTATGGCCTTTCTGGTACAGGGAAATCTTTTCCTCTGTATCGTTAGAGTCTTGCTCATACAGCTTATGTCCAGACTGTTGTGCATAATGTTGAACCCACCAGTGTGGCTGATGTGTGATCACATCTCCCTCTCCTCAACAGATGGTCCTGCTTGGAAAAGTTCTCCAAGATGTTGCTTTTTTCCCCAACTGGAATTCCCCAACTTTGTTTCTCTTGGGTTTTTAGTGCAGTCCTCTGTATTGTCTTCTCTAGGAAGTTCTCATTCTACTTCCAGAAAACTGGATTTACAGGATCTGCTGTGCCTGCTAAAAAAGAAGAGCTATTGGCGGGTGGGGAGGGGGAAAATGACAAACCGAGAGTCACACCATCACTGTGTAAGCTGTGCCCCTTTTACACATGTCCACATAGAAGGACTTGCATAGAAGGACATAGGGGGACTTGCCTTGTGGTGTACATGAAACTGTCAGATGTTGTGGAAGCCTCTGATGAAGAGGTGGATTTAGCATAAAGCCTCAAGTGAGAAAAGGATTATCTACTGTGGTCAGAATGTATTAGAAATTCTGAGGATCTTAATCTCACATGGTTAGGTCTATTCAGCCCTCTATTTGGAACCCATAAGATTGAGGGATTCCTAAAAGAAAGCAAAACCAGAGATGTTTTGCATTTTTCAGTCCCTCTGATTAGAAATCCTCTGTGGGCAAAAAATAAATCAATAAATAATGATCTGTAAGCTTCCTAGTGAATGAGAAAGCAATACCCTTGCTAGGCATATAGATTGTTTATAAATGTATGTATCTAACAGTATTTTCTCAGGAGAATCATCAGTGGCTGACAAGTTCAGTAAGGTCAAAAGAACAAATTGCATTGGTGGTCACCAACCGGATAGCATTGACAACAGTGTTAACAGGGACCCAACTGAGCCAAAACTTTTAATTAGTCATAAGGTCAGTAAAGAAGTTACAAAAGGTGTAAGTTTAGTTTTAGTTTTAGTTTAGTTTAAAAGGCCTCTGAAAGTTTTTGGCTACTCAAGGTACTAGCTTTCTGAAGATATCAAAATCTCCTCTTTGATCCTTCTTTGTGCTTTGGCAAAATTGTGTTCTAGAAGTTGGTTTTCTCATACTGACCGCACAGATGACGGTCTACTCTTGGATACCAGTGGATAATCTTGGGTACATCTTCAGGGCTTGATCTGTGAGATGCATCCGTAACTGTCCTGTGCAATTTTTTTGAGTGGTGGTGGTGGTGGTTACGTGTGTGCACCCATTGCGTGCCAAGGACGGACTACCTTTTCTGGGCCCATGGGCCAAACCCCCTCCCCATCCCAAATCCTGCCATTTTGTAAGAACTTGCCTAAGAATTTCTGCTCTTAATTTTTATTTGTTATTACTTTCATGATAAGAGGGAGCCTAGGCTTGGTTTAGGGCAGTGTTTCTCAACCTTGGCCACTTTAAGATAGGTGGACTTCAACTCCCAGAATTCCCCAGCCAGCATGGCTGGCTGGGGAA